CCTCTATCAACAAAAAAGGGATTACACCGGCCAAGTCGATGGGGAGCTTTTTAAGGGCGGGATTCTGGACGGGTTTTCAAACTGAAGAAGGGGAACGTTGGGGGGTGTTCCAAGCAGTTTGGCCTGGTTTTTAGAACGGTGGGGGTTCGCAATTATTGTGGGGCCAGCCTCGTGAGAAAAGGAAAATGGGTTTGAGGGGGGGGGGTTCTCCATCCCCCGGTTGGATCCTCGAGTAGATGGTCAAAAATGGGGGACAACTTCCTGTGCAGGTTTTTGTTGTGGTCCATCAGGTCGGGGAAAATCGGGTTGGGGTGGCGCCGGGAAGGGTTCGGGGGGGGAGGGGACCACTGATTTGGGGGGGGGTGAAATTTTTTTTTTTTTTTTTTTTTTCCGAGCTTCATTTAGGGCATGGAAAGGGGGTGTGGGGGAGACTTTCCTTATAAGTGGGGTGAGGAGTTTGAAGTATCGAGGTTGTTTAATTTTTGTTTTGGATCATATGATGATATGCCCCCCCGATTTTAGAAGGTGAGCCAAAAAATTCGTAGTTAAATTTGTTTCGAAAAGGAATCTTTTTTCTATATTTGAGGAAAGGAAATAGGAAATACGTTTTTTTTTTTTTTATTTTTTTGGAGTTGGCCCCCTTCCTTTTGAAGGCCCCCAAGTTTCATCGGGACCCCCCCAATATTTACAAAAAGTAATAAACCCCCCCCCCCCCCCCCCCCCCCAGACCAAGTCAAAGTGAACTAGTAATTAAAGACAGACAACTCAGCAGCAACGGCAGAACCAGTCACATCCCGCTCCTAGCATCGGCGCCCCTCCCCGCAGGCAGAGCAGAATCAAACTCCCTTCAGTCATACATGCACATCTACTTTTCTCGTCCAGTAGTAACCCTCTTTTTTTTCTTGTAACACACATCTCCACTTGCGAAATTCAATTCACGCTTTCATAAGCAAACTTTTTTTCCAGCTCCAAGGGTCCATGTACCATCTAGAGCTCCAGGGTCCAGGCGCACGGCTTACCAAACGCCCAGCACCACGAACCCCATACTACCTCGAAGTCTCCACAAACGCCAGTCAAGAATTCATCTTGGAAGGCATCCTACCATTCATGGAGGACAATTTACTCAACTCAATGACAAGATTTCAGTCCGTTATCGCAGCTTCACAGATTCGCTGTCGAATATACAAGAAATCAAAACCCCGCAAAGTCGGGCCTCTCCCAATTCGTCTCGCCGGTTTCCCCAAAAAATTACCTACCCTACCTTACCTAGAGCCTCCCCAGAATTCAAAAATTGCCTAAATCGGTAACTTCAGCTTTTGCCATTTTCTCTACGCCGTGCCGTCATTCTGTTTCGCTTTAACATCACGCGTAAGACTCACCCTTTCTCATCATTCAGCTCTGGCTCTCCAAGTGCGTATAGTCAAGCCAAAGTCACCAAGCAAGACCAGAGGCTGACATCATGAAAGTTACGACTCAAGACCCAGATGCGAATCGGCCAGCCCCAGAAGTACAGCATCTAGTGCGGAAGTACTAGGTAGTCAATTGAGATCCGTGGCATGACTACTAGCCGTCTTCGCATTCGTCCCTGTGAAAACCACAAATCCGCAGCAGGTACTATGTAAGGTAGCCTTCGCTTCTACTAAATTTAGTAATTCTTCAATCATATACGAGTGTAAGAGGTAAGTGAATAGTCTCTCTAGACTGGATCAAATAGTGCTGTGACGTTGCTCGGCGAGACTGATGCGGCTTTTAAGCTTAATTTGCTCGGCCAGCGTTGCGCGGGACCGAAGCCGAGGCCGAGCTTACAAATACCCACCATGAGCGGTGATATTCTCTCATGGCGTCAAGACCTCAGGTACGGCATGCTTGGTGTGAGTGATCATGCACAATAGCGAGTGGAAACTGGAGCAATCGAGCTGTATGTAGATTTCCCTTGTTGGTAATCAGCGATTAATGACATCTTCAGGTGGGGGCATGAGCTGTCCATCAAGGTTCTTCCACCTGCATGACTAACTGGAAGAGAGCGATATATCTCGACCCAAAGTGACTGTCATCTTGCTTCTTGTCTTCCTCTATTCTTATTTCTACATACTTCATACAAGCATCGCATCTATCAATTAAGCACCAAAAGCCTCATCATAGTTGACCATGCACGACCGATATCGCACGCTCGAGTCTCCCAGTCTGTTCATCGCCTGCTGCAGACCCTCCTTCGAGATGGGAATCTTCTCCACCCACGAGTGAATGCCCTTGGTGGCAGCCAGATCAAGCATCTCCAACATCTCCTTGCGGCTGCCCAGGTGCGAGCTGCCGATGAAGCAGCCGTTGCCGAGGAAGTCCTGGTTGCGAATCGAGATGCCTTCGCCTCCAGGCAGACCGACCGAGTTCCATCGGCCGTGGACGTCAAGCAGGCTCAGGTACTCGGCCAAGGCAAAGCCGTCAAACGAGTTGGCCGTGTTGATGATGAGGTCAAACGTCATCTCGTGGCCCTTGGTCCAGTCCTTCTCCGACGTGGCCAGGAAGCCGTCGGCGCCCATCTTGCGGGCGTCCGCCTCCTTGGCTCGAGAGCGAGAGATGGCCCAGACCTCGGCGCCGAGCGCCTTGCCGAACAGGATGCCGTAGTGGCCCAGGCCACCAATGCCGACAATGCCAACCTTTTTGCCCGGGGCGGCACCGAAGCGCTTCAGAGGGCTGTAGACGGTGATGCCAGCGCACAGCATGGGGGCGACATCGGCGCTCTCCAGAGCATCGGGGATTGGGTATGTCCTGAGGAACCAGGTCAGGAGGCTCGAAGTCAAAGAGGGGGAACACAGTTTACGAACCAGTACTCGTGAATTCGAGTGTGTGATGAGTAGCCTCCCTGGGTCGTGAAGCCGGTGTCCAGATACGGGGCGCCATAGGCGTCGATCTGGTGCTTGCAGTACGTCTCATTGTCGCTCTTGCACTGGCGGCACTCGAGGCACGAGTACACCTGCGCTCCCACACCAACCCTCTGGCCGACCTTGGCCAGCGTCACCTTGGGGCCGACACGAAGGACCTTGCCGACGACCTCGTGTCCGACGGCCAGGGGATACGGGCAGCCGCCCCAGTCGCCGCTGATGGTGTGGCGATCACTCGCGCAGACGCCGCAGCATTCCGTCTTGATGTCGACATCATAGTCGCCGAAAGGTCGGGGCTCCCACGAGTTCTTCTCAAACTCGAGCCACTTGTCGGCGCTGGGCGACTGGAAGCCGGTGAACTTGTCAGGAACAGCCATCTTGAGCTCCTTGCTTTCCTTGGACAGGGTATAGGTGGACTATGATGGGATTGTCAAGACGATATGAGAACGGGCGTGTTGCTGGCTGGAGAAGAAGAAAAGCAGACGAACTCGAGAACAGATGAGGGGAAGAGAGGGCGCGGTCGACATATATTGCGCCAGCTCTATCGCTCTACCTGCCACCTTCTTTCTCTCTGCTCTACCCCACCATCGTCATAGACGGGGAGAATGAGGGGCAGCTTGCCTCACCTTTTACCCGCGCCAATTCTCGGGCAACTTCTCCCGCTGAGCGAATCTCTGCTTCATCGCTGCATAATCGCCAGACACAAACCCCCACCCAGACACAGGCGAAGAGGCACCTCCAGCCCACTTCTCGCTCTGAGGCGTCGAGATAAGTCCGGGAGCTATCCGATTGTTCCACCAAGGAGAGCGCGCGACGGACCGGTCATAGGAGCTTACTTAAGCACGCCCCCGTGGGTTTTGCTGCGGCTCCGGGTAAAGCGATGCCGAAATTGAGGGCCGAAATCTACGCCTCGTTGTCATTCTGGAGATGCGTGCATGTCACTCGGGGCTTGATGACCGAGTGAAGGCCTAGATCTCCAAACTATTGGGAAAGAAGTCGCATGGCGGCTGGCAGACTATTTGTAGTTTTGCAGCCGCCTCGTCAACAGTCCCGATTGAGCCAAAGGGCCTATTATCACTCCTCGGTCTCATCGGCCGTCATTCACAGGCCAACCCCCGCCAGGAAGCACAACCTCATGCCCGCCCTCGCGTAAACCCAGGGCACATTGCCAACATTAGCAGCATTCCAGGCCATGGCATTGTAATGGATGTCAGGAACCAGCTTCTTCAAAAGAATACGAGTGTCCGGAATCCGCAGTCAAGAGCACCAGCAGGACAGTGCGCCACACGCGCAAGTCGCGTGTCGCCCGGAGCACGAGCGTCTGGTTGATGGCGAAGAACAAGTACATGTTTTGCCAGCTAGGACATTGCCACGGAGGTGTCCAGGGGAACAACCAGCTGTGCCGGGGCGGTTGCGCTATGGAGGAGCTGCAGGTAATAGCGCTGCTGGCGGAAGTGCGTGTACTATCTACATAGTAGGTGCCGACGAGGGCGGACACGGGCTCGAGGACGAGGAAGAAGAAGAGGCGGTATGCAAGGGGCAGATGGAGGAGCTGCGCTGGCGCCATGCGGTGCGTTGCTGTCGCTGACGTGACGCTGTCGTCTCGCTCAAGGAGCTGCGAGTTTGTTTCGGGTGAAGTCTGGTTTCTAGGCTTGCTGATGTCTGTGAGTAGAATGCTGCTGCTTATTGATTTCTCCTGAGCTCGTCGTTGCAAATCATTTGGTAAGTATGGAAGCCTGTGGTGGTGACTGAGGTGAGAAGAACTGTACAGCCATGCTTTTTTATTCTTCTTCTCTATCTCACAGCTGCATCTTGGACCGTCACGTCAGATCCTCATACATGCATACAGCATGCAGATGCACGTTCTGCTGTCCCAAACTCCGCTGAAAAAAACGTGGCTGAACCTTTTGTGCCTCTCGACGTCTTGTTATTCGAGATACATCAGGGATTTGTGGCGATCGTCAGTTCTCGGTGGACCTGCCCAGGGATAGCATCTTTGCATTCAAAAATGATGACATTGTGTGATGTATGCTGAAGTCAGGCATTCCTTAAACTGAATATCACCTCATATCAACCACTGAACAATCCCCTTGCTTCTCTCTGCATGCATGGACTCTCCAAAACATGCTGTAAGCCCGTCAGACCCAATGTCCAGCTGTCTTTTCTTGGCAGGCACAAGTATTACATATTATGACACCGCGTGTACATTCATCCCCATCTCTTCTACGCATGTCTCAGGTAGTGAATCCTGCTGCAGCAGAAGGGGAACTGCCCAATCCCAGCAGCAGCCAGACTAATGTCCGGTTTGCCGGTCCAGAATGCAAGTGAGAGAAAGAAAGAAGACGAGAAGAAAAAAAAGAGCTGACTAGAGGGGACCCGCAATTCACGGGCACTCCGCTTCAGATCGCACCTAAAAAAGAACAAGCGGCTGCCGCAGGGACTTGCAGTGGCACCAGACTGCATCTCAGCCATCAAAAATTGGATTGGACGGAGACGCAAATTTGATCGCTGCGTGTGGCTTGCAGTTGGGGCTTGTACTTGTACATGTACTTTTGCTGCTGCTGAATTTTTTGATTTTTTTTTTTTTTTTTTTTTTTTTTCCCTTCCCGAAGAACACGAATCCCTTTGGACGGCTTGTCTCTGCGAATGGCCACATAATGCCTCATGAGACATTTGCAAACTTTTACGCCTCTGTTGCGTGTTTTGTACTGTTTCCAGGCACCTTCGCTCAATATTACCTATTGATGCCCCCCAATGTCGCTTGAGAAAAGACAGCCGACAGGGCCTGTTCTCCCCGCTCCAGCCCTTCCCGGTAGGAGGATCGTGCCAGATGACCTGGTTTGCCTGGTGACAACCACGTCGATAATATTAGTACCTTGACACGCTGCTCCAGGTCATCACCAGAACGAACATCTGAATCGACATGACCAGCCCAGACGGGTCATCAGGGGCTGGGGAGGGGGGCATCCCCAGAACTCACAAGGCGGCGCCGATTCGATTCCTCTCTCCAGGTCCACTCTGCTCCGTCCTCTAGACGATTTCCACCACTAGCACCTGTTGGGGTCAGTGGACAAAATCCGGGGCATTTCGAGATGCGTCCTCGATGGCTTCAGCCAATGATTGTGACTGTAATGCTTGTTGTGATGTGATGTATCGCCAGCGAAGCACCATGGAAGTCAGGTACGGACGCAGGCGCACGCGCAGGCGCAGGTACCGGTACAACAAGCCCACCAGCCCGTCTCCCTTCCCCAGGGGCAAAGCCGTCCCAGCGCCATCGCCTCTCCTTGTTCCTTTTTTCCCATTCGTCTTCCCTTCCTAACCCTTTCTGCAGGGACTCCGGCAAATGGCGGGCAGCCATCCATTGAATCCCATCCCCCTCCCTCCAAGTCTGTGCGGGCTGCGCCGTACATGCAACTAACACAGCCCGGCTCGCAGTAATATTGCCGCCTGGTATCAGTGACAAACAGCACATCGATACCGCTATCGGTCCCCTGTTTTCTCGCTCTTTTTTTTTTTTTCTTTCTCTCTGCTGGTCCCTTGCCTTATCTGCTGCCACGCTGCTTCACCACCTTTTCATCGCACCTCGTCTCTCTTCGCTTCCTTACACCACTCTCCTTTTTTCTCTGCCATCTCTTCTCCCGTCTTTCGTATCTTCTGCTCGCCATTTTCCACAGCTCAGTCGTCACATCCCAGCCGCGCCGTGTCTCATCCCACCCCTTCTACTAACTCGAGCCGAAACGGGGGCTTCTCTGGACAACTCCCACAGGCACTTGTCGGTTGTTGTCAGCAGCCGCGTGGCGCCCATCGACCGCCCGCGAGACCGCCTTGCCCTGATCAATTTTTTTTCTTCCTTTCTTGCAATTCAGCCCGAGTTTGCACTCGACACTCGTCGACACTTGCTCTTCCGCTCTTTGGAGGCAGCTCAGCGCCTCGCCTTCTTTGTTTGCTTTCGCCGCCTTGTTTCGCTGTCTTCCCTTCGTTGGCTCCGCCGCTGTTTCAGCTCTCCATCTCGAGACTAGTCCTTCGTCCTTCCTTTCGCCGACCAGCACGACGAATCTCCACCGAGGCTCCTCCGCGTCGACCTCCTGTTGATCAGCACTCATTTGACGAGCCTCTTTCGATCTACGACACATCTTCCTTCTCTAGCGTCGTCCTGCATCCCAGTTCTCGATCCGTTTCTTCGATAACGAGCCGGAAGACGCGCGGCAGCACGGTTGAATAGTTGCACCATTTGTCTGCACGACCACGAGCCGCTCTTCTCTAGCCACGCATTGTCCAAACAAACACGATGGCGGATCAATTCCAGTCATACACCATGGGGGCACCTGCTGGGGCTCGTGTCGCCGGTGCTCCCGCCTCTCACCAGCCGCATGACCAGCGCATGCGGAGCCTGAGCCTCTCGAACCTCCTCCGCCACCACAAGCACGCTACCTTTTCTCACGACGATCCGCAGCCCTCGCGACAGACCAACGACATCGCCGTCGACGACTCGGAAGACACACACGAATTGCCCGCTCGAAAGCTGCGTGGCCGTGCTCAAAGCACTGCCGGCACCATCAAGGGGGTGATTCGCCGAGCCTCCTTATCACTCAAGGGCATAGTCCACCGCCGGCCATCCATCACAGCCGAGCCGGCGGATGCCCACAACCAGGCCGTTGCCCACGCCAGACCGACCAGCGCCCATCACACTTGGAACCGCCTTCGCCAAGTCGCGCCCTTTCGCCGCTCGAGATCCTTCTATGGCTTCCATGTTACTGAGGATGGCCTCTACGAACAGCGCCAAGGCCCGAACCCGCATATGCCCATTCCCGCCATGGGAGACGAGCCTCCATATATTCCCATGAACACGGGAGGTGCCGCCAAGGCCTCCGTGGCACTCCAGAACGAGTACTTTCAGAGGCAGGCCATGCACACCCAGTGGTTGCAATCGTCTAGCGAGGATAGCAACGACCGTGAGAGCGGCATTGGCATTGTCGTCACTGAGCCATTTGCCGGGTCGAGTGTCAGCGACGACGGGTCATTTCCCGCTCATGATGGCAACATTAGCAGGATCGATTTCATCAAGCAGTTACCCTCCGAGCTGGCCATTCACGTTCTGGCCTACCTAGATGCCGCCGCTCTAGCCAAGGCAAGCGTCGTCTCCAGGCACTGGCACGATGTGGTTCGCAACCAGCACATCTGGCGAGAGTCTTGCCTACGAGAAATGACCACCACCTATGCCACCAGCGAGCCCGTCAAGCCCGGCACTGGCCTGGGCATTCCTCCGGTTGTTCCCACCAACGACTGGAAGCAAATCTATCGTGCCAAGCTCGAGCTCGCTCAGAAGTGGAAGGAGGGCAAGGCCCGTCCCATGTATCTCAACGGACACACCGACAGCATCTACTGTCTCCAGTTTGATGAGTAAGTGCCCTTCTCACGCCTCTGTTTCAACCTTTTTCAACCCTGTCTTACTAACTCAACTAGGTATAAAATCATCTCTGGCTCCAGAGACAAGACGATTCGCATCTGGGACATGCAGACTCTAGAGTGTCGTCTGGTCATCGGACCTCCTGAAGTGGTTAACGCCCCCAATCTGCTGGAAGATGCCGAAGGCAACCCGGTGCACTATGTCAACTTCTCCGACAGCTTCAGGGCCGCGCCCTCCACGCCCAAGGTGGTATCCTTTGCGGAGCATCACAGAGCGTCTATCCTGTGCTTGCAGTATGACGACGAGATCATGGTGACAGGTTCCTCGGATTCCACGTGCATCGTCTATGACATGCGCAACGGCTACCGACCGATCCGTCGGCTTACCCACCATACGGCTGCTGTGCTCGACCTGGCCTTTGACGAGAAGCACATTGTAACGTGCAGCAAGGACATCAGCATCTGTGTCTGGGACCGGGCGACCGGCGCCCTGCTCCGCCAGCTCCGCGGCCACACGGGCCCCGTCAACGCCGTTCAGATGCGCGGAAACACCATCGTGTCGTGCTCCGGCGACTTCCGCGTCAAGCTGTGGAACATTGATACGGGAAGATGCATTCGCGAGTTTGTCGGCCACACAAAGGGCCTGGCGTGCTCCCAGTTCTCCGAGGATGGGCGCTACGTCGCCTCGGCAGGCAACGACAAGGTGATTCGCATTTGGGACGCCAACACGGGCGAGTGTGTCCGCGAGATGCGCGCGCACGAGAACTTGGTGCGCAGCCTGCACATTGACAGCGTCAGCGGGCGACTTGTCAGCGGCAGCTACGACACCGACATCAAGGTCTGGGACATGGAAACGGGCCGCCAGCTGCTCGACTTTCCTCGCTGGCATGCCAGCTGGGTGCTCAGCGCAAAGAGCGACTACCGACGCATCGTCAGCACCGGGCAGGACCCCAAGATTCTCATCATGGACTTTGGCGCGGAGGTGGAGGGCATTGACATGCTGAAGAGCGACAACACCGGCGTCGGCGGTGGCATCTTTTGAACCACCAAGCCTGGCCATCCGGACCGACTCTTTGGGACCATGGTCAGATGTGGAACCCTCACAAGCAGCATCTCACGAACGTGCCCGTTGGTGATACCGGCGTGACGCACGTTATCGGCCTTTTTTCGAACACCTGCTCCCTTTTCTACCACACGGATGGGCAAGCCAAGCAAATCGAGGGCACAAAGCTTCTTCGGCCCCCCCCCATCTCAGGATGATTTCCTTTTTTCTTTTATCAAACGACTGCCTTTTCACAGTTGCGACACCACTCGGTAATTAGACCGTTTTAAGCATACGATTGCGATAGAATAAGCATTGTTTGGCATTTCAACATGGCATCAGGCCTGTCATTACTGCGGTCCTTGGACAAGCGTCTCTCTTTTTACCTTTTTCTTCGATTCAGTCATATCTCACGCGGGAGCAGATTTCTCTTTCTTCTTTGACATAGACATGCATATGATGTTTTTCTTTCTGTTTTATTATTTACAAAGAAGCGAGCGCGGTTTTTTAGGAAATGGGACCAAAAAGAGATTGGGCGATTGTCGTTTAGTGGCGCTTGATTAAATATAGAGATGAGCTATGCTATGCACCCCAACAGGGTGGTTTTCCTTATGTCTTTCTTCCCCCTTTTGTTCTGTTGTATGGAAGGTTGGGTAAGGATGAATAAAGGTAGATTCTTTTGCTTTTTTCTTTTACTCAATTAATGACCTACCTAGTATATCTCTCTGTGCCTGAAATGTATCATCAAACTACTTCAGGTGGTAGCATTCGTTTGTGTGGGACAATTGTGATTTGTGATTTGTGATGGCTACTATTGCTTGGTTACATGTAGGTAGCTAGCTACCTAGCTCCAATAAAGGGAGCACTCTACTTGGTCATGTATCGGAAAGGATAATAGACCGCGCCTGTGACTTTTGGACGGGGGGGTTGTTTTTCTTCCTTGGCAGAGAAATGGTTTGTTCCTTGAGGGTTTTGGTTCTGTGAGAGAGGGGTGTGTGTGGTAGATGAGCGTCAGAAAGTTCAGGTCCCTCTTGTGTAGGTAGTTTCGTCTTGCTTAGAGGATTAATGATACCTAGGTACTGTTTGTTTGGAATCTCCTGGTCTTTTTTTATGTACACTGTATTTTAGGTACAGACTAGTAGGCCCAGGTTATCAAATTGTCATATATCGTGGTAAAAGTAAGGTAGCAGCAGCAGCTGTTAAAGGGAGGCCTTGGTGACCCATGGACCTGGAGGGAAGCGGCGTGGAAAGTCGGGTTAGGTAGTTGTATAAGGTATTCAGTCAGTTGCCGAGTATCCATCTGGGTGTACTAGTACTGGCTTTTACCCAATTCAGGATCCTCAGAGCATGCATACGAAACATTATATTAGACTTTTTAATAGTTAAATACCTATTACTACTACTACTACAAACGCCTTTATAGTATTGTCAGTTTACGCGTGAAAATTTCGTTTCTGCAGCTGAAAGAAACGAGCCGAGGACGCACCGCGTGGATGAAGCAGGGGCGAGCAGATTTTACTGCTACTAGTAGTAAGTTGGCGAGCAATATCAGTATTACTAGTACGCATGCTTGGAATGTCTTGGTCGTTTTTGGAGCCTAGGTATTTGTCGTTGAAGAAGTGTGTGGGTGTGGGTGTGTGTATGACCTTGTGCCTCTCTCTTGTTCTTGGCTTTTTTTTTTGTGTGTGGATTCTGCGGGTATGGCCGAGTTCTTCCCTTTTTTTTTTTTTTTTTTCACTTTAGTTTGCGGGGATTTTCTTTGCATGCTCATACTACGTATGTACAGTCAAAGGTTGGCCGGATGATGAATGAGTAGTTCTTGTGTGGGGAGGGCTGCTTATTATGGGGTTTGCAGGCAGGAGTCCGTGTGTGAAAATCTGGGGATGCTGGGGTGCACGTGTTTACCTACATGTGTGTTGGTCTGTGGTTTTTTTTGCGTTTGGTTCGTGGGATGGAGTTGGTCTGTCTTGGTTGGATGATGACTTTACGCTGAAAAACACCAGTTGCCCTACATATATCCCTATAATACATTGTGTGTTCGTTGTCTGGCGACTTGAACTGCGTTATGGGAGGGAACGAAATGCTGCGCTCAAGATCTTTCATCTACACCATGCTTCGCAATTATAAGGACATCGGGAACATCTCCCCGAACAAAGTACTACCTTGACATTCCCCTAGATGCAAGTAACCAACCGCAAGAGACATACCATCAGCGCACAGCCCCCTCCCTGTGCCAATGCTCCAGCTCGGCCCTTTATATGGAGTGTCAAACCTCTCTCGTGACTCTCAGCCGCAAAACCGTTATTCGTTATTATTCGTTCTACACTGGATTGGACAGGAGTCAAGACGACCAGGTTCGCATCAGACATAGAATGCTGAATAACCTTGTTTCTTTTTTCCCCCATGTTAAATCAGAGACTAGAAGAACAGAGGCTTTGACGGGCAGCAAGGGCCGGCCCCTTCCGAGTGTTGGGCGGTGAGCTGGTGGATGGAGTGGCGCCGGGGATGGGATCTTGAGTGCTGATGCTGTCAGTTCTCAAGCCACATTCGAGAGACATACCACGTATAGTCCTCCCCCAGGGAACCACTACATGTTGAACTGGCGTTTGGGGCATCTCAGCATGCTATTAGCTAATGGATCTATTGCTCTCCTTTGCAAAGAACAAAAGATAGCCACCGCTATCCTTTCCACTGCATCTTGGCTGCTCCAAGTGCGGCCAACAAGCCAAACGAGGTCGGGGAAGCGCGGCATCCAGAAGGCCTATTGCCGTTCGGTGCGGGGAACCCCTGGCATCTCCGGTCTGGGGCGGGCGAGGGCTAGGGCATATTTGCAGCCGGCATCTCTTGGACTTGCGGCATCTAGAGGCATCTGGCCAGGCCTGGCCGGCTTCTCTCCGGGCAGTTTCTGGGGGTGCAGTTGCATGGTGGATGACGTGGCTGGGGGGCATGGGGACTGGGCCATGGAGATGGGGGATGGGGTATGGAGAGAAGGTTTGTTTGCTGTGCATCGCGGAGACGAACTATTGATTTCTTTGGTGGCGAACGAGCTGAAGAGGGTGAGAGGCAAGAGAAACAGTCGTGGTGATCATGCAGAGACCTGCAAAGGGGGGCGCAAAGAAGGGGGGGTCTGCTTCTGCTAACCGGGAGACGGCAGCCAGAATACGCTCAGGCACCTACTACTAGGTAACAGGCTGTGCCGTCTTCTCATGCCACTAGCCTCCGTTTTCGACCCACGGCCGTGGTGTTGAGGAGAGCGGATAAAAGCTGGATGAAGGAGGCGACAGGGTCTGTGAACAGCCAGATGCCTGATTGGCGGCACAGCGTTGCAATGACAGGCTCCATGACTTGCCAGCCAGTCACTGCCCTGGTAGGTTGTCTATTCGGGACGGTCCAGTGATCCCGTGGCGTTTCGTCGGCGTGGGGTTCGCTCACAGCATTGAAAGAACTAGTATCTCGCCATTCTATGCTCGGTTTTCTGGTCTGCTGAGTTTTGCGTGCTCTGCCGTGAGCATGTCCTATGTGCGTATTTGCCGTCGCCTGCCTTGCTCGATTGTTTAGACAGGCCGTCATTAGGCAGGGCAACCAAGTAGGTAAGTAATGTTGACGTACTTGTGTTGCCCTCCCGGTTCATCTTCCGTCCTAGGACTCCGTGGCAATGGGCACCAAGGCGGAGGTGTTACCTCAGGTGACAAGTCCGTTGTGCTCGCACGAGACTCCTTGTGTGACCGAGCCCTGCAGCCTTACGACTGTAAACGGTCGATCCAGGACATTGGGCCGAGTCTGTGCCAAGTGCGCGCATTACGCCACAGGCAGCAGGATAACGTGGAGGCAGCCGAAGGTCGTAAGGGCTTGGGGTCATCAAATTGCGATCTTCGCTGTGCGTCTCGATTTGAGCGATAGCTTGTGGGTGCCGGCAGCATAGTTGTATGCTCTTGTATTGCGCCGTCAGCCTGCCAGTAGGTAATATGGCGCACAACGTAACGGTAGAGGTCTTTCCAAGGCGATAGTACTGAGCAAGATAGGCAGCTGCTCAACTGCCAAGTGCCGCAAACTGTGGTCTCGCATTGCCTCCCTCCCTTTCTTCAAGATGATTCACTGTCACATGTGCGAGCTGATCTTGGTGCGGTCTGCTGAGGATGCCACACGCTACGCCGTGCTTCCAGTCGCTCGCTGTCCTGAGACAGTCAAGGCGCACCGTCTGATGGACACAATCAACGACAAACAGAGTCAAGTCACCCACCGCCTGATCACGGCCGTGGTCTGATAGTATTATTGGACGTCGCAAACGGAGCTAGAACGGGCGTTTTGTGGTGGAGAGAATCACGATGGGATGTTCAAGTTCTGGGCTTCAACTTTGCATGTCCCTTAGGTAGTTGCTTAGGTTCAGACGTGGCCAATCGCAGCGAGGCTCGCCTCGGCTAGGGCGGAGTACCTGGCAGTCGTCGGTACCCCAGATCACGGCGCTTTTGCCCCGACTGGGGCGTACACAGCACGGAGCAGTACCAGGCACGGACTACCGCCGACATCTGCTCAGGGCTCCAGCGGACTGCAGTGCTAGCGGAAGGCTAGAACAGGGGCATGAGGCCGCAATTCCAGCGGAGAGGCGCTAAGCTTTAGCCCTGCTGGCCATCTCCCGATCGGGCCGTGCAGGGCAGCTGCTTCTTGTGCTCCTCTCTTGAGACGTCCGTGATGTGGTTCTCAGAGCATGATCGATGCGAGGATTGGAGCTGCAGAGACGCTTCCCCTTCTGCGCGTCGCGCCTCACCTTATCTCTGCGCACCGTCGTCACGATCGCTGATCAGCACGCCCTCGAAAAGACTTCTGTCCTCGAACGTGTGTGCCACCCAATCGCAGCGGCGGGAGGGGGGAAGCAGCAAAGCCAAGGCCAAAGCAAGGGCCAAAGCAAGGGCCAAAGCCAAAGCTCCTCGATATGGCCTCATGACACCAGACTCTCGATCCACCACGAGGCAACAAGCACTCTCCCACGCCCAGGCGCATCATCGCAGCCATCTCTGCGCTGCCGTCACCGATCCATCATGGAAACTTCCGCTCGTTTTCGTAT